AACGTTTTAGTCAACCTCGATAACCTCGAAGGAAAATATGCTAAGTAGCTTGGTGCGCAGTCGCAATAGAGCCTTATTTGAACTGCGCATGACATTACGTTAGCCTAATTAACAGATTGACATTGATTTGATGGATGACGTGGTTGTCCCTTTAAAAGGAACGTGACGAGTTAGCTCCTTGTAGTTGTAGTAATTGCCGTAACCAGTCAAGAGCAACAAGTAAGAGAACGTTGTGAGTATTGTACCCAGGTCATCAATAGTGGAAATAAAAAGAGAAGCAACCAAACAAAGAGTGTTGGAGTGATCAGCTAATTTCCCCAAAGGTCGCTTCAACACAGGCATGAGCCAGCGTGGGTGCCGCCAAATCTGGCCTCTCGCTTTGCAAGCTTTCATTTCCTTAAAAACGTGTTCTAATTTTACCCTCCTCTAGCTTAGACAGAAGCTTGTTAAACCTTCGCGCTCGCCTTCTGTCCCTGTTATTTAATAAAGGTATCCGGTTAGCTCTTACGGGTGTCAATAGTGACCCACCATCTGCATGGATACGCCTTATCAGCCAGAAGCTTTGCATTGGGTGGTAGATCCAAGTTACGCTCTGGACCAATAGATTCCATCAGTCGAAAGGAAACGGCATCGTGCGTGCTCCCGGCCCTAGGAATCCAGCCTGAACAAAGCGGATATGTCCTTCATTGTCCATCACTTGTTGAGTATTCATACAGTGATAGTGCTGATATTAAAAGCAACAAAAATGCCAAAATATTAAACACCACCGCTTGGATCTCTTGTACGTCCATTTTTATTTACAACAGTGACTCCACGAATTTGCACGTCTGCAAAATTTTTTTTTTTTAAAAAAGCATCATTTTGCGCTGGCAGTCATCCTTTTAGGAAGTCCCAAGGAGGGCTTTTCTCAAAATGTCAAATTTATGGCGCCCATGAGACGCAGAAAGCATTGGAGGATTCCAATCAGCACAGAAGAATCGGGGTTTGTGAAATCATTCTAATGAGGCTATAAACACCAAGCATAATACCAGCCTTTTAATTATGTTTTTAAACACACTTACTGTCAAATATCTTTGTAATGTTAATTTTGTTGAGAACAAACACATTCTAGATCTTGTGACCACATAAACTTGACCACAGAAAGGCAGAAAGGTTTTCATACATCATCCACGGGAAAATTTATGAATAGTATAAAAATGAAACAAAATGAGGGTCACGAAGCTCTCTTTTTGCACAATATACATGGCTGACCATTATACTCATAATCGTAGCTGTAAGACCCTGAGGTTTTTCACTTGGGATCAGGGAAGTGTCATTTGTAAAAAAAATATTCATTTCTTGCAAAAAATGGATCAGTTCAACAATGTAGACCTTGATCTTTCATTATGAACTTTTTTAATTGAAAAGAAATGAAGAATTAAAGAATTCTCCGCATTTGCACATACCCAATATCAAGCATTTCCTAAAGACGTGTTGTTAACAGAATTCAAGTAAAAAAATGTCTAAACGCCGAGAATTTTTGCATCGTAGTCAATCGTATCTCATTTATATTTGTCATTAAAAAGTTGGGGTCACCGTGCTCGTTCAGAAGAAAACAGTCATTTATTTCGCTATCAAGCTTAGCTTGACGAAAATATCACAATGTTGTGTACGTGCGCTTATGACACAAACGATTATAGAATTCTGTGGAGACATCTTTAATAAATATATTGCTATTCCTCCCTATTTGAAAGCCTCAAGGTCCACAAGCGGTACGTGAATAGGTTTGAGGACTTGAAGATTATTAAAATAAAATGGCACAACCCACGCTACTGTTCCACTTGGTCGAATTACTCAAGGAAGTGAAATTTAATCAGGCTTGTTATGTCATGTTATTCGGTCAGTACGCTCAAGACATAAGACAGGACAAGGAAGGCATCAACGATTTGGCCTCAGAACTGCTTTTGCGCTCTGTTTGCAGCGCATAAATATTTTGAAGTTATCGAGATGTTTATAGACAGTTAATTCGTAGAAATGAAGTTGTTTATGGGATTCATTAATTAAGTGAGCCGGCCATTGTTTTCAGCGGAAGCATCTGCTTCTGTTGTCAGACATTGCTAATTAACATGGCGTTATCCTTATAATGTAACTCTTAGGTTACAACTTCTGAGAGCCAGTAGAGTGCTTTAATTTTTTGTTGAATCGCAAAATGGAACAACTGCTAATCTGAGATTTTTTTTATAATTTAATGAATATTAGTTTCTTCGGAAGCACAAGACAACAAATTGCCGACTGGACAACGCAGTTGGTGTCATTTTGTTTAACGAGCTGAAAAAAGATATTTTCAACAAGTATGGACGAAACTTCAAATCCCGCTTTAGTTCCCTCGACACTCAACTTCCTGGTTGTGAAAGTTTTTTAAGAATTAAAACTTTATTAAAAGTGATAAAGAATTTCATTTCCGATGCAATGTCAAAATGATGGAGTTGTTGTGTCACACTAACCGAACGATTGGCCATGATGGTCCGCATTGAACGCTCACACCTGACTGAAGGGAGACAAGAAATATGAAATGCTAATTAGCTAATGCTGAGAAATCTTTTACATAGCTAGGCCGTGTTCTATCTAAACACCATTTCCAACGTTTTTCAATTAATAAAGCACGTCCTCAACTATTTTCTGTTGAAATGGTCGACTGAGAGGTTTTTGGGATAAACTGCGGTTCTGGTTGGCTGGTTAATTTGATGGAATTCCTGATTATTGAGAGAGGATGCATTCAGTTCGTCACCTTGAATAACTTGAAGGTGGCTCAAAACATTTACCAATTCTCAAAACTTTAGGTTGCTCTGAATCCTATATTAACAGATTTTTTTTTATTACTTTCCCAAAAGCTGCGTCTTATCATTCTTATTAAAATTCGATAATATAAAAACATTTCACCGTGCCGTTTTTGAATCATAAGCCCCTAAAGCTGTAATTAAAGGGTGTTTTTAGCATATCACACTGTTGCTATGGTCACCTATCGTGTAACGAAAATGATAGCAATGTTTTGGTTGATACCATGATTATAGCATCAAGTGAAAAAGAGTGGTTATAATGACCCATCAAAATCTAACAACTGTAAACTGTTTTGAGTCACCTTAATGGGAATTGTTCAACAGTTGCAACACCAAACTTCATTTTTAATCCACCAATTCAACCCCGGTTAATGTTGATTGAAGAAATTGATCAGATACAACACGAAAGAAGTTTCTTTCTCCCCCTACGAATACAATCAAACCCCGCCCTGGGAATTGAACCAAACCAAATGAAGACGAGTCGGCATCCTTCTGGACCAAGATGTTATCGAATCTTAATTGTTTACCGTGTCGTAAGTTGCACGGCATTTCCGCTTCCTGAAGTTCTTTCTTTCCGAATAAGCTTTTGTTTTGTTTAATGAGGCTATAAATACCAAGCACAATACAAGCACGTTAATTATGTTTTTAAAGACACGTTATATAAAATGTCAAAATATGACTGTAAGGTTAATTTTGTTGAGAACAAACACATTCTAGATCTTGCGACCACAGAAAGGCAGAAAGGTTCTCAGAAATCAGTCACGAAACAACCTTAATTTAAGAAAAAATATTTGTATCAATTTTTTTCAAAACTTGGTCCACTTGGTATTTATTTCATGAATATTTTAAAAAGGAACAAAATAAGGGTCGCGAAGCTCTCTTGTTTGCACAATATGCATGGCTGATCATTATGGTCATAATGATAGTTGTAAAATCCTCGAGGCTTTTATTTTGATCCTGCATGGTAATAGGAAATGGGAATCACGATTTTTAAAAAAATTTAACACCCGAACTGCTTAACAAAATAGACTTTGATCTTACATTGTGAACTATTTCGATTGAAAAGAAATGAAGATTGTGAAACAAATTCAAGAATTTGCCGCATTTGCACGTACCTAACATTTAGCATTTGCTAATGACGTGTTCACAGAAATTAAGCAAAAATGTCTGAAAGCAGAACTTTTGTATTGCAGTCAATCTTATCTCATTTATATGTGGCATTAAAAAGCGCTGGTCATGAGAAAACAATTACTTATTTCCCCGAAAATCTCACAATGTTATGCTCTTGCTCTTATGACGCCAAGGAATGATTATGCGCGGAAGGATGTGCATTGCAATTCAGTGGAATCACCTTAGGTCAATAAATAAATCACTATTCCTCCCTATTTACAAGCCACAAGCATTACATGAGTAATTTTGAGGACTTCTAAATTTAAAAATAAAATGGCACAGTTCACGAAACTTTAATTAGCCCCAGATTATGTTCACTTGTGCCATGAGACACAGTCCAAACGCTCAAGGAATTACAGAGGGCCCGGGGAGGTATCAACGGTTTCTAAGCGTCTGAACTCATTTAAGCTCTATTTGGAGCGCTTAAAATACAAGATAAAAGAAAGGTTTTCACAAAAGTTATTATGAGGATTTGAGTTATTATTATGTGGCACTCTAGCGAAAACAAAAATTGAAGCATTACACAAAGCTTATATAATTAGCGACCATTAACGAGGTAGATTTTTAGCATCCGTTTCCTGAAGTAGGTCTCTGTGGATTAAACCGTGGCATGAATCAGTAAGTATGTTAATTTTTTGGACGTTATTTAAACAGACCGTTTGCTTGATAGATCAGTTCGCCACCGACGGTGATTAAGGAGACTTTCAGAGTATCCAAACATTGTCTGTTGAGAAACAACTGGTGATTTCGTGTGACAAGGTGACTCGGTTTAATAACAAGCTAGCATATGTTTCTTTACGTAGTTTCGAATGCACAGGTGGGAATGTTAGGTTTTATTTGTACCTCAAGCTATGATTAAGTTTCTTCCTTCTAACCTTTCTACATCTAACATTTCTCGACAGTCGTGACATCTGGCGCAAAAAAATGACTAAGAAACTGTTGTTGATTTACGATAGGCACAGAAAAGGCACACGCAGTCATGCCAAACTTTCTACAAGGTACTAGTATGATCTATTTATTTCTTTTATATATTTCAGTTTGAAGGAATATGAAGTGCCTGGTTATTATCTTGATAACTGTGGGTCTTGCGTGGACCATGCCCCTGGAACATGATCCTGAGAAGATGGAAGACATGATAACTGGTAAGGCTATAGCAAAGATAAAATTAATTTTATATGGCCAATTTTCTATGATGTATTAAAATGTGCCTTAAACCAACACAAGAATTATCGCCTTATTTCACAACTTGATCGCGACCAAAACTATCGCTCTTCGCTTGGAAAAGATCTTGCCAAGCGTAATACATCCTTGTCAGTCCGGCTACGTAAAGGGTAGATTCATTGGAGAAAGTATCAGACTAATAGCAGACACAATGGACTTCACTAAAATTAAAAATATACCCGGTATAGCTGTTTTCTTAGATTTCGAGAAAGCTTTTGATTCAATTGAATGGGACTTTATCCAAAAATGCCTTGAATCTTTCAACTTTGGACCAAATCTC